GAGTGCATATCTCTCTTATCCTCAGGTATTATTGTTAAATGTCATGAAGACAGAAGTTTGCATAAAAATCGCACAACAGCTCGTAAGATGATGATTGAAAAACTGGATCAGCATTTCAATGGTGACATGAGTGTTGCTGCTCAGTTGAAGAGAATACAGAATGAAAAGCAAACAAAAGCTCAACAAAAAGCAAAGAAAAAACAGATGATTAAAAAAGCATGGAAAGACCGAGAAGGTTTGAATGAAAGCTAAAAGGTTTGAGTTAGTATACTTAACTTTGCAGATGTGATGTAAATTAAGTAGTGTAAATAATAATGAATGTGTGCACATAAAAGATGGGACTTTTTATTATAAATCATCAGTATGCAGGATTTAATGGATATATTTTGCAGATATCTCAAAGAACTTTTGTGTAGGACTTCTTGGCCCAAATTTTTTATTCATACTATTGGTTCACCAGTGCTAATTGTGCCTTTAGCAAGGATCTAAGAATGGAATTGCTTTGATTTTTATTACAACTCTCAAAATCTGTCTGCATCTGTACAGATTCAGCATCTTGTATGAATTCTACAAAGCCAATATTGCCTTTTTTATACCAAAGTGGGAACTAATTCTATTTTATTTAGTGAAAAATTTTCTGACACATCAGTATCTGAGGTCATTAATGTTGTATTCAAAATAGAGTAATAGGGTGGGACTTAGGCAAAGCTCCCAAGTATAGCATTATGATACAAGTATTGTGACAAAAAGGGTAAAAATCAGTTCACGATTAGGATAAATGGACAGAAGAAAGGGATGAAGGAAAGGGAAAGGGGTAGACCATGCATATTTTGAGGCAAGGGCTAAGGTCAAGGCAGAGTAATCCCTACATTGGGCCTCAGCCTGCAGCTCCTAAGACCCTCCCCATGACAACAACAACTAAGAGAATGGGGGTAAGTGAGAACTAAGTTTTTATATCAATAGGCAAATAAATATAAAAATATTTGGTATTATTTCTCCCCAAATCACCTACTGTTCATACAACAAATAATAATTATCACCATAATCATGAGTCTCTCACACAATATCAATACTTATGCAGCACTGAAATGCTGCTTCACATTTTAAAACAGTGACAGACAGATCAGACTCTCAACTATATAAAATTTTCCTTGTTGTGATGCTGTGAAAGTCCATTTTTTATTTATGTGTAAATACATTAAAGAAATATATACTACCTTGTGTTCTTATTCATGTAGGTTTAACAATGGGGAATAAAACTACTGATCAATATTTCTGGTTCTCAATAAATATTTGTCTTAATAAGAAATTCTGTATATACCATAAACTGAAAATACAAGCTTTGCAGTACATACTCTCATAATGTTGCATATTTAAAAAGAAATTTCCTTGTACAAGCCTGACATCATTACTATTACAGAATGATGCAACACAAAGAATACTTTTAAATCCTATATCCCTCCATTGGTTTGGCTGTCTCATACCTTAGATACTCAAGTCTTTTTTCTTTTCTTTTTTTTCATAAGAACTAAACTTGTGCCTTCCTCAAATTTTGAACTTGGCTGATGTACTGGTATGCTTAATCTCAGCTGACAAGCTTAAAAGAGCAAATTTTTTAGACATCTACAAAGTTCTGCAAACACTACTGGACTACTCATATACTGTACATAAATACATAAAATAAATTTAAATAAACTTTTTAAACATAGAGAGCACTTCAAACAAAAGCTATTATTTTCTAGCTGACTACGAAAATTCCATTTTGGGGGATTTCCTCTACATTCACAATACTGTTATTGCCTCCTGACAAAGATATTAAATAAATTATTCTGTACAATATTTACATAAGAATATAAATCCTGTATATTAAATGCACAAAATGTTATATCAAAATATACACCACTACTTCTTTATGAAAAATCTATATATATTCCTTGTCTAATGGAAACATTCAAACATTATTTGCAAAAGAAAATATACAAAACTCCATCAGATGATAAACAAAGCCAAATCAATGAAGAGCTAAAAGATTCAATATAGTTATTATTACAAATTAAATGCATATGCAACTACAAATTTAACATATATCACATAATATGATCGTAAATTCACTGCCAGTACTTCTTTGAATCATATCAATTTTGCTTTCAATATTCACATTGAAATTAACTTTAATTAAAGCTCTCTTCTTGTATTAAAAGTAATTAAACATTTAACACTTTAAAATGTGTTACTCAAATTTATCATTAACATTACAAAAAACTATCTACAAACTAACTATTTAAAATGTCTCAGTGGTTTCATTCTTCCTGAGTCAATACTGTCTCTTTAAGAGATATCAAGTACCTTAAAATATGCAAGGCTTTGTAGTCCTATTAACTGGTGTTCACTTTCACACAATGCACTTTATTGATCATGAACAATGGTATTGCCTCAACTTGCTTCAAGTAGATTCAAAATATCACATAAATCAAAATATTTTTTTATGTTCATTTCTCAT